AAATGGGAACTTTGGGAAGTCGAGAAATGGGAAAATAAGAAAACAAGATTAGTTCAGAAATCGGAAAACTGAAAATTTGGAAACGTCAAAATTTGAAAAATTGAAAAATCGAAATATTTAAAAACCGTAAAATTGAAGAGGACAAAAACTGAGAAATCATATCATTGAAACATCGTAAAATTGAGAAATCAAAAAATTTAAGTTCGAAAATCTTAAATTTAAAAATCGAAAAACTGAAAAATCGACAAATCCAGAATATAAAAAACTGAAAAATTAAAAAATCGGATAACTGAAAAATCGAAACATTGAAATATTGGAAAATTGACAAATCGAAAAGCCCAAAAGTAAAAAATTAAAAAACCGGGAAATTCAAAAATTGAAACATTGAAAAATTCAAAAACTGCGACATCGAGAAATAGAGGTGTCGAAAGCCGAGAAGAAAACTCAAAAATTGAAAAATTGATAAATCGAGAAAGTGGATAATCAAAACATCGAAAGATCTGAATTCAATATTTTGAGAAATCAAAAAATTGAATAATCTAAAAATTTTAAAAAAGAAAAAGTGGAAAAATCGAAAATTTAAAAATTCGGAAATTTGAAATATAGAAGAAATGAAAAGTCGAGAAATCGAAAAACCTAGAATTTTAAAAATTGGTAATTTTAAAACATCAAAAAGTTGAAAAATTGAGAAATCGAAGTATAAAACAGTCGAAAAATTGAAAAATCTGAAGTTTAACGAAAAATTGAAAATCCGAAAAGTAAAAAATCGAGAAATAAAAAAATCCGGGAATTCAAAGATCGAAAAATCGAAATATTGAAAAATCCCAAACTGAAAGAAATACCCAAAAAATTGAGAAAGAAAAAAACTGGAAAAATTGAGAAATCGAAAAAATAAAAAACCAAAAAACCTGAAAAATCGAAAATTGAAGAATTTAAGAAGTGAAAAATTAAAACTTTGGGAAGTCTAGAAATGGGAAAATTAAAAAAAACAAAATTAGTTCAGAAATCGGAAAACTGCAAAATTTAGAAACGTCAAAATTTTAAAATTGAGAAACCGAAATATTTAAAAATCGTAAAATTGAAGAGGGCAAAAATTGAGAAATCGTATCATTGAATTTCGGAAAATTGAGAAATCAAAAAATAAAAGTTCGGAAATATTAAATTTGAAAACTGAAAAACTGAAAAATTGATAAATCGAGAAATCGAAACTCCAGAATATAAAAAACTGAGAAATTAAAAAATCGGATAACTGAAAAATCGAAACATCGAAAAATTGATAAGCCCAAATGTAAAAAAGCAAAAAACCAAGAAATCCAAAAATCGAAAAATTCAAAAACTGAGACATCGAAAAGTTGAAAAATTGAGGTACTGAAGTTTAAAACGGTGGAAAAATTGAAAAATCGAGAAATCAAAAAATCCCACAACTGAAAAAAATATCCAAAAAATTGAGAAATTAAAAAATTGGAAAAGTGAGAAATCGAAAAACTAAAAAAGGAAAGTCGAAAAATCGAAAATTGAAGAATTGAAGAAGTGAAAAATCGAAACTTTGGGAAGTCGACAAATAGGAAAATAAAAAAAAATCAGAAATTCAGAAATCGGAAAACTGAAAATTTAGAAACGTCAGAATTTGAAATATTTAAAAATCGTAAAATTGAAGAAATTGTATCATTGAACGTCGGAAAATTGAGAAATCAAAACATAAAAATTCAAAAATCTAGAATTTAAAAATCAAAAAACTGAAAAATCGACAAATCGAGAAATCGAAACTCGGAACATTAAAAATTGAAAAATTAAAAAATCGGATAACTGAAAAATCGAAACACGGAAAAATTGGAAAATCGAAAAATTGAAAAGCCCAAAAGTAAAAAATCAAAAAACCGACAAATCCAAAAATCGAAACATCGAAAAATTCAAAAACTGAGATCGGGGAGTCGAAAGCGGAGAAAAAAGTTAAAAATTGAAAAATTGATAAATCGAGGAATTGAACAATAAAAACATCGAAACATCTGAATTCGATAAACCACGGAATTAAAAAATTGAAAAATCGAAAAATTTTAAAAAAGAAAAATTGGAAAAATCGAAAATTTAAAAATTCGGAAAATTGAAAAATTGAAATATAGAAGAACTGAAAACTCGAGGAATTGAAAAAGCTGGAATTTTAAATATTGCAAATTTAAAACAACGAAAAGTGAAAACATTGAGAAATCGAAGTCTAAAACAGTGAAAAATTTGAAAAATCTAAAGTTCAACGAAAAATTGAAAATCCAAAAATTGAAGAATTGAAGCAGTGAAAAATCGAAAGTTTGGGAAGTCGAGAAAAGGGAAAATAAAAAAAAAACAAGATTAGTTCAGAAATGGGAAAATTGAAAATTTTGAAACGTCAAAATTTGAAAACTTGAAAAATCGAAATATTTAAAAATAGCCAAATTGAAGAGTATAAAAACTGAGAAATCGTATCATTGAAACATCGGAAAATTGAGAAATTGAAAAAAAAAAATTGAAAAATGAAAAAATCGAGAATTTGAGGAACTGAAAAATTGAAAAAGCCCAAAATTGAAATATTGAAAAATTGAGACACCTAAAGTTGAAAAATCGAGAAATCTGAAAGCCGAAAAATAAACCACAAGTTCAGGGGGTCTACTCTCGACTTGGGTGACATTTGTCACTGATGACAAAACTCATCATTTTCAAAGTCACTCATTTCCTTAATTGACGTACTCTCGACAATCGGTGAGATGACAAAATGCACTGACGCTTTTTCTCACCGAAACGATATGGCAACTGTGCAACAACTGTCAAATTAATTTGACAAGTTCTCATTTAAGTTTAAATACCCAAGCATAAACTGAAAAATGAAAGTGAGTGAAGACCAAAAAAGCTGTTTAATCGAGTTTATGCAGCGTAATGCCAAATTGCTGTCGGGAAAATTTTCCTCTGAATTCACAAAAGTGGACGCACGGAATTTGTGGATGAAATTGGCAGAGGAATTAAACAGCTTGCCGGGTCCAGGACGTGACTGGAAATCTTGGCGAAAGGTGTGAATAACACTAAAACAAAATATTGGTTGGTATATTTTATTTGTATTTTAAACATGGCAAGATCTGCGCATGCGGACGAAACAAAAAGCTGCAAAAAATTTAAAAGAAACAAAAAAAACTGGGGGCGGTACTGCAGATATCCAACCGTTAAATCGTTTGGAAAAAGATATTGCCACTTTAATATCACCCATGGCTATCAGGGGCCTTAATGTGCCACAGCCAGTAGTGACGTGGGGGTCGACAGAGACACCGTCTCACGAAATTTCAAGTAATGAGCCTTCAACATCTGCTGATGTACGTTTTCACGTATCGCCACCAATTAGCCCTTCGTCTGTTAATAGTTGTGATGGCTTTAGAACAGAAAATTCCTACTCGCCTCCTACTAGCCATCGCAAATTGCCCTCGAAGTCCCAAACAGCACCAACACCGGTGACTAATGTCCCTGTTGTTTCTAAAAGGCAGAAACGTTTACGGGCAAGCCACGACGAGTATGCTAGCTATCTCAAAAAAAAGCTTGAAATTAAAGAAGGTTATTATAAAGAAAAGTTGGAGGTTTTAAGAAACCAATCAAAGGAGGTACAAAGTATCGCTGCAGCACTGAATAATATTGCAAATGCATTACTTACTTTGAAACCGTAATTTTTGTTTACTTGTTGAAGAATAGAATTTTGTTGTTATTATCAATAATAATTTGAAAATTAAGTATAATGAATTAGTTTTTGGGGTTTATTGAAATCTAGCTCGAATCAAACGAGCACGGGTATTCCTTCCCGCCACTAATTCTGGATTAATGCGTCCTTGTGCTCTTTCGTTTTCTTCCAATGGTGAAGCTTGAATTAAACCTAAACAAATTCTTGTTAGTTCCCACTGATCAACGAATATTCCCTGCTTCACCGTCATTCACATCTATTACTTCTTCATCCTCGGGTACAGGCATGTGGTGGTCTGTGCACAAATTGTGAAGAACAGCACATGCGTTTATTATTTTACACGCCATTTCTGGCTTGTAGTGCAGCACTCGATCTTTAAGGCAACATCTAAATCTGGCCTTCAGTATCCCATTACATCTTTCAATTATACTCCTAACACTTTTGTGAGCCACGTTGTACCTGTATTCAGGTGTATCAGGAGCTGGCTCATAATTAAATGATGTTAGTAGCCATGGTCGGAGAGGATAACCTGAATCACCTACAACATAGAATTAAGTACTTTAATTAAAATGGATCATTTTTACTAGCTGAGTTACACACCTAACAAATAATAATTTGATCGTCCCTCACCGTGGATTTGCCTCATCACCCTTTCGACCTCACAATTGGTCCAAATGAAAGAATCATGCGTATTGCCGGCATGAGCTGCTACAATATTCAAAATTTTTGCATTCGAGTCACAAATCTAAAAATATTTCTGAGATGATTTCATTTCTACCATAAAATATTGCTTTACCAATTGCACGTTAATAGAATGGTATCCTTTTCTGTTTACGAAAGCCCTTTCTGGCATTTCAGGATTATTACCTGCAGGAGGTACTATTGCAACGTGAGTGCAATCTATGCATCCTACCACTCCAGGAAAACCAAATTTTTCGTAAAATCTATAGGAATGCCGGTAATGGGTTGGTTGGGAAGAAATATTACCTACTACAATACTTTCGTCTGCAACTATTCAATTCTTGAATATCTTGAGGAAATTTGATAAATCTATTCAGAATCTGTGGTCTGTTCAAAGCATCTGTAACTTCTTTTATAGAACGACTGACGCTTTGTTGAGATATGGAGACAAACTTATTGACACCAATATCCGTTTGATAACTCCCTCCGGCATAAAACCGTAAAGCAGCCAACACCTAAAATAATAGTACCATATTTATACTGATTTCGTATGAATTTAGATTATATTCTTAGATGTTGTAAATAGTTAAAATTTTTAGTTACACGCGTGTTTATAGCCAAATATGTACCACGATTTTGAGGACGCATAAATGGTGCAAGTAACCCCACAATAAATCTAAATAAAATTTTTGACACCCTAAAGATTTTAACAAATTGATTTTCCGGTAATGTCTCCAACGGATCAATTGTAACCCGTAAAGCTGGAACAATTGCATTATCTTCTTCAGCATCTTCCAGTTCTTCTAAAATATCGGCCATGTGAAGTTCATCCATTTTATATTGGGTAAATGGTTTTCTAAAAGAAAAAAAATCCATTTAGAAAAATAGAAGAAACATATGTAAAAAATGTTTATAAATGTGGGTACTTTTTATTTGCTGCCGCCTTGAGATGTACTTCTGAAAATGTTTTGATTTACAAGAATACTAAAATTTATAAATTAGAAAATAATTCAATCAAAAAATTTTAGTAAACCTACCTCCCATTTACACTATTAACACATGTATAAAAGCTTTGGTACAAAAGTCACCACTGTTTTTCTGATCGTTGCCACTCACTGATTTGTGAACGGCTTTTATCGTGTGTGACAAATTTCTCACTTGTCAGGAGTACGTCAGTCATAAAAATAAGTCACTTGATGATAGAACTCACACACGTTTTTTCTCACGTATCAAGAGTACGATGTCACTAAAACTCGGTGACATATGTCACGAAGTGACAAAACTCATCGGTGAGTTTTGTCAGGAGTAAGGTCCCTGGACTATGCTACTTTTTAACATTTAAATAATAATTATTATTATAATTATAAATAATATTTATTTGACAAAATTGTACGATGACATCATCAATTTCTGGAGATATGAACAGATAAATTTTGACTAACGATTTAACATGCTTCCAGTAACTATAAAGTGGAAAATGTCGTTGATTTGTTTCCAAAAATCTTGACGTCTACGGTAAAAACTCAACACGGATTCATAAACCATAAACGAAGGTTGTAAAATTTAAATTACATCTACTATTGTAAAATTTGGAGATTAGGTCATTCCATGTTGGTGACAAATTTTGGTGAGCGTTTTACCATGTTTTAATTTTGTCAATCGGGAACATTATGTATTAAATCGTTAAGATGTTCACGAACTTTGTTCACTTATTCGTTGTAAACTCCGAGCAGATGGTCGAAACAGGTTATCTCTAACGAAAGTCGGCTTGTAGATAAATCGCTTAGGTCGATATTGGCTTGAATGCGCTCTGGTCTGTAGATCAAACAAGTTCTCAGACCAGAAGTCTTATGATTTTACAGTTTTTTTTTTATTTGATGTATATGAATGCAGCTTCGTTTATCAATTCGGTGACCAATGTTTCATATAACCAGAACTTTTAATTAAAGTTGCCAGTTAGTCTTTTACTACACCTCAAAACGTTTTTGCTCGAACAAGGATGAGTGCTCGTTGCAGAGTATATTTTAACTTTTGTCCAGAGTTGTAATTATAAAACTTTGAACATGCCAAACTAATGGTTCGTTCTGCCTTTTATTCACGTGCTAAATTTTATTAGTTGCAAATTTATGAAACGTCAAATTCATGCAGTGCAAAATTTTAACAATAACTTCTTGCTTAAAGAAATCCACAAATTGAAAGGCATTCAAATGCAAATTCATAGTCAACTTAATGAGTTAGTTCGTAGTTTGTCTGCCAAGAAGGATCGTCAATTGTTTCCAGGATGAATAATGCTCAACGTTCCAACACTCTGGATGCGGTTAAATCAGGCATAAAATTGTGGCAATAAATATTTCAGATTAAAGGATATTTGACATGAGACAGCTGTGACATCACGACAAGTTTACCTACAAGAGTGATTAAATTTGCATCAGTGGCATCAATCAGAGACGTGTCAATATGTAGTGGATTATTAAATCATCAGATACTAAATAAATATTAATTAAGCTCTTTGCTTAAAAGTATCGAATCGTTTACGAAAAATTGGGAATTAATATATCGACCTTACGGGTATATCATATATGATGCAAACCTTCCCCACAATCCCACTACGATCTATACACAATACCACCCTTTATCATCGGCCGCCGCAGCCCACACGTCCGAGTAATTCATCTGCCACCCCGGCCCGTTTTCGGACTCACAAGAAACCTCCAGCTGCGATTTCCATCCATCCAACCATGCAAATATTTGCGCCGAAAATATGTATTCGTTTCCGTTTTCAAACAAGCGGTTATCCATCAAACCTTGTTTTACATGCAAATAAAAGTCTCTTATTCGATTTCGACGTTGATACATACCATCGCCGACGACCGCCACCATCAACCCTCCCGATAATTTTAGACAATCGATAATCATGAATACAATTAATATTAAAGCCCTCTGTGTATTCGAGCCTCACTTTGGGTCTCGTTAAATACCATTGACAGTTTGATTCAGTCGTCGGTATGAGTTCTAACCCAATTATGGCCTCCACGACAACAATGGGTCCGAAGAGGACCACCCTCGCATTTCCATATAGATCTGTCGGCGATTGTCGCGTTTATTCTACGTCATTATCACGTGTGCATGATGTTATTCCTGCGTTTTATGGGCCGTTGACGGTTTCGAATTAGCTGGTTTGCATGCAGAACGGAAAAATTGAGTCATGTGTAACTTAATTACGGCTTCGGAGGGCGCGACTTGTGGCAAAAAACATTTCCGAGAGTTGAATTTTGACCGACGAAAACAACACTTTGTAGAGGCATATTAATATAGAATCTGCGTAGGTTGCTAAAATAATAAAAAATTTTCAACGATATTGTGATTCTCAAATGAGCAAATTCTCAGGTTGTTATTTTTCTTAAATTCTTAATAAGGTCAACTAACAAAATCGGTCTCTGGCTAGAGGATTAAGTAAACATCGAGTGCCAACTAGAGGACAATTCTTATCTAAATCAGCCTTCCTGTTTGTCGGAATCTCAGCATGTTGAAAAGAATTCTCTAATAACGGATTCAGTATCCATCTGTAATTATTACAATTGTTGTGGATTTCTCTAGAGAAATAGTTGCAGAGGTTTTGATGTAAACTATGCATGCTAATTTGCATGTCTACAATAACGTGCTTGGAATGTATCACTATAGTTGGCTAAATCTTCTGAGTTCGTGAAGGCATTGGAATGAATACAATTTTTCAGAACTGAAGTCGACCAAAAATCTGTTTTTGTTATTACATTAATTAACATCGGTCTTGCAGACTACTATTCAAGTGGACGAAAATACCATTAAGAAAAGCCAGCTTAAGAAATCAAATAGAATTGAAAAATAAGTTCTTATATTCCGATTTCTCGTGTTAAGTATATCAAAAAGTCTGCTTTTAACTGGAAAACCACTCGAAAGTCATCTTACTTCTGTTATAAAGAAGATTTACGCATAAAGAACCCACGTCTTCACAAATTCTTCTAACAAAAAAAGAGTCTGTAACGCTTTTCCCTTGATAGAGTTTACAAATTTTATGACCCTTTTCAAAACACAATCCGTTTTAGGAGGTAAAGGTTTTGACGCAAAAGCTTTTCGTTGTAAAATAGAGTGTACATGCAGGATTTGACATTAGTTCTTGTAATTATACAACAAGACCATATCGATGTCTTGTCAGCTTCGGCGTCACGTAGGTACATATACAGGGTGACTGCGAAATATATGCAAATATTTTAACCACGGCATCCCACACCCCACTAGAGCCGAAATATAGAAAAAACAAATTAAAAATCGAATGGGGCAAAACCCCCATGAACCACCCTCGACACGAAGGCACTGAGCCACCTTGTAAACAGAGTTGGAAAAACGTTCGACTAAAAACGACCCAAACACTTTCAGTTTCAATTAAAAGTAAAACCGACTTTTTGCTACTTATCATTCGTTCATTCATTTACTCATTCATCGTTAAAGGTCAGTGTGAAAGTTTTTTGGTAATTTTGATTCTGACGGATGTTTGGTCCTTGTCACAACGATTTTACATTGTTTATTGGAACAGAAATAAGAGCAACTTAGAATGCTACTACCTTTTTACAAGAAATGTTGAAAATGTTGTTCTTGACTAGCAATACAGGCGTCAGAGCGTCGCAAGAGGTTTGTTGATAGGCAAAAAAACACCGGAGTAGCGGCTGCCACTTTCACTTGTTGAAGCTCTTCAATAATTTCTGGACACTGTTGATTTCCACAAACGAATTGTTTCATCCAACCAATACACCTTTCTCGAAAACCGTCTCTTGAAATCGTACTTGTTGACGACTATGTGGAGTTCCATCGGACAAAAAGTGAGTTACACAACGTGGACAATCAGTGGACTCCAAACCGTGCACTTTGTCAACATGGTATGGATGTGGCCGTGTTCTTTTAATGTAGGATGCACTACAAACTGCGAAAATCCAAATTCTCCTTTCTGCCCCATCATGACCACGATCGTAAATTTGAGGTTGAAGGTAACATGATCTCGGAGATGCTGTACCACCATATCGACACACTCTGCATTGGAAAACTGGACCATACACCGATTTCAACGACCGCTCGATAATGACTGGCCCTTTTCGTGTTTTTCACGTTGCGATTAAAAAAGTGCCTGATAAAGTTACTTTTTTGGTTCTTACTCCGAATCCCCTACCCATTCATTGCAGTAATTATGTAGGTCACGAAACATTACCAGCGGCGCGTATAACAATTTACATTTAATTTCAAATAATTTTTTCTAGACACTGCTACCACTTAGGACCGTGAATTTTTGCCAGTGACATAATCATATTGTGAGCTATTGCCCATTTTTTTTTTGCATGTATTTCGCAGTCAGCCTGTATAAACATATTTCGACAGGTCCATATGGTATTTGTTAGCATTTTGTATAAAAATGTCGAATAAATATTTTCCGGTTGCATTGACAATTTGCATTTCAATATAAAGTAGTTCGTCGCCTGAGGACTTGTTTGATCTACAGACCAGAACGCACTCACTCCAATATCGACTCTAAGCGATTTATCTAACTATAAGCCAACTTTCGTTAGAGGTGATCTGGTCGGACTTTACAGCGAATAGGTAAACAAAGTTCTTGAACATCTTAACGATTTAATACATAATGTTCAAATTGTATTATCAAATACTAAAACGCTCACCTAAATTTGTCACCAACAATGAAATCACGTAATCTCCAAATTTTAGTATTTAATTTAATAGTAGAATCCGTGTTGAGTTTTTACCTTGGACGTCAAGATTTTTTTGAAAAAAAAAATCAACATTTTCCAATTTGTAGTTATTGGAAGCATGTTAAATCGCCTTTTCGATTTTTGGACTTCTGGATTCTTTAATATCTAGTGTTTTTACTTTTTGGATTTTCAATTTTTCAACTTTTCGATGTTTTAATTTTTCAATTTTTAATATTCTAGGTTTTCCGGTTTCTCGAGTTTTCAGTTCTTCTATATTTGAATTTTTCAATTTTCTGAATTTTTATTTTCGATTTTTTCAATTTTTCTTTTTTAAAATTTTTCGATTTTTCAATATTTTGATTTCTCGAATTCAGATGTTTCGATTGTTCAATTTCTCGATTTATTAATTTTTCAATTTTTAACTTAGAAACACCGAAAACTTCAAAAACTGAGAATTCGAGAAATCGAAAAATCAGAGGATCGACGAATTACTTAAAAGTCGAGAAGAAAGCTTTCGATTCCTCGACCCTCTGATTTTTCGATTTCTCGATGTGTCAGTTTTTAAATGTTTTCATGTTATTT